CTATTTCTTTAGTAGGTTTTTTGCTGAGCAAGTCTGTGTCATTCCCACTGGAAAAATGAACAAACTCAAACTTAACCTGCAAGGTGGCTCCAAAACATGCAGCAAAATTCTTCTTACTCATTGCCAGTGGTTCCCCATGGAAGTGGAGGGAGACACACTGTTTTCTGCAGCTCCATCAGTAGCTCACTAATTTGAACTAGAGGCCAGGGTGCTTAATGAACACACAGCTGAGACCAGCCTAAGGAGATGTGCTGGAGAGTTGGAGTAGGATACAGATGATCTTGGCAAATAGGAAAAAAGAAAGGGAAAGAAGAGAAAGCAGGATGTAGTTCTGCAAAGACCAAATGCAGGATTCTGCTCTCAGGTATGAATAACCAGTGTGCAGAAGCAGGCCGGGGACCAAGGTGACAGGAAAGGATGACTCACAGGCTGAGCCACATCATCCAGGGAGTTACGATTTATTTATTTTAAACCAAGCTGACTGGGATGTTTGCTCTTAAAACACTCACGATGCAAGACACCTGCTGTTTGAAGTCTGAGCCCAGGGCTCATGCCCAGCTGCCTGCATTACCCTGTCAGGTACAGGAGCAGCTGGCAGAGCCTGTGGTATTTTATTCTGGACACATGAAGTCTGCAAACACACAGGAAAGCTCTGCAAGGATCTACAAACTTGCTCTCAGCATCCAAATGCGATAGGAGAAATAATATGGTTAAATTTCATCAGAGTTTCAGGCTACTTGCTAGGATACCCTCTGAGCCCATCAGCTCCACAGGAGCTGTAATGCGGTATCCAAGACCAGTGGGGACATTCAGGGCTGATGCAGGGATGGCCACTCAAGGTTTCTCCCAGCCCTACATTACTACTATCCCATGAAATGGCTGTGGAGCAGCATAAGCTGTTTCTTAAGGGCAGAGACACAGACTCTGATCTGCTGCTCGTGCTCTCCTGGGCTTCCCCAGTGCTTGGGTGGCAAAGGCAGAGGCCATGGCAGACCTGAGTAAAGGATCCCCTGCAGCTTGAGAGGACTTTGCGTTATCCACCCGGGAATGCAGATCACCTGCACAGAGTTGGCCTAGAGCCCAGGCCAAGGGAATGCTCTGCATACCTAAGGGGGAGCACAAATCCCAGCACTGTTACCAGAACCTGTCCACTCACCCAATGCTCCTGTCCAGCTTTTCCTGGAATCCACGAAAATAAATAAAATCAATAGAGCAACACATCAGGGCTGTGCGTGGGTCCTGCTCTGTGGAGTGAATCAGATTTTGAGGGAAGAGTGGGGTTCAGAAGGGGCTGTGGTGGCACCCAACCAGAGCCCTCATCAGAGCACTCTGCACATAGCTAATTGCTGGGCATTAAAAATCTAAGAAAAAGACAGTGACCCTGACGAGATGGCCGAAGACAAAGTTTTTCCATAGGAAAGGAAAACCGAGGTTTGTTCTCCATGTCTGGAGTGTGGGCAGAAGCAGCAGATAGGCAGCGCTGTCGGGCAGGGAATGGCAGGGAGAAGCTACCGAGTACTAATGGCTCAGTGAGCATTTAATGAACAATCCCAAACCGCCCCCAAGAGGCTCCTGTTCGGAAAAGAGCCTCCCAGAAGGAAAACCAACCAAAACCCAGATCCTGTTTGGTTTTCTTGCTTTCGCTGCAAGTCTCAGCTGGAGAGTCCTGGCAGGGAACCCTCCCCATGTCCCAAGGCAGCCACACGTGTCACAGGAACACATGCCTCCAACTGCTGCAGGGACACGGGTGGGGGGCTGCAGTTCCCCTTCCACAGTGGATAAGATGGGCCATGCTCTGGGGTGCTCCCACCCAGGCTTCCACGGGAAAAATACTCTGTTCACAAGGGTTGTGTAACACATTCAGCTAGGGGAAGGTTCAGCCAGATGATGGGCTCCCAGGGTGGTGAACACTCACAGCAGCACCAAAACCATTGTGCCAGACACCTGGAGCATCACTCTGCCTGTCAGAGAATGCTCTGTGCAGGACTGTGCTGGTGAACCAAACACACATGCAGCAGAAAATGCTATTAGTCTCCTTTAATGGAAAAAAAAGGGAGAAAGATGCTTCTCCACTGCATCTATCTGCAGCTGTGTGGGGCAGGACCCCACCCAGGTTTCCCTGAACATCCATATTTCAAGGATACCACATTTCCCCCTTCAGCAATAGCTGGGAATACCAAGTATCCAGGAGCAGCTGCTCCCAGCCTTATCCCTCCTGCTCCCACTACCACTCCAGGAGTAGGACAGTGGGTACCACCACAGACCTGAGCCCAGCTGGATGCTCAGCAACAGAACAGCTAGCTCAGAGGCATTGTTAGATTTATTTCAAGCCAGCCCTGTTGTGTTTTGCAGCCTCTTTTCAGAATACAGTGCACCAGCCTTGGTAAGACCCATGAAAACCAAGGGCTGAATCCTTACTTAGCTTTTGTATGAGTCTTTACCTCTACGAGCCTCACGACCCAGCCCAGCTCCAGCACAGACCTGGTTTATTCACATGATTACAAGGAAAGCAATATTTATGCATGGGACAATAAACCAGCAAGACACCTCCTTCCTCCTGCCATGCCAGGATGCTCAGGCTCCCCACAACTGGGATGGAATGGTTTCCTTGTGATTCTCCCAATTCTGTCCTCAGGACACACAAACCCACCAGGAGTTACAGGAGCCTCTTCTCAAACCCCATGCACAGCCTGGAAACACAGCCTTACCTGAGGGGTAGCCAGGACTCACTGGGTGCCAAGTGCCAAGGAAGCAGCAGCTGAAAACAGGGGAGCAGCCTTTGCATGGTGTGGGGCTTTTTCTGGCTTCCAGCAGGAAATGAGGATTAATGGGAACAGCAACAAGGTGTGTTCACAGGTGCAGGCAACTTACATCCCTGCTTTCATCGGTGAGCTCAGCTGCTGCTGCTGGGTCAAGCCTAGGCATGGGGAGGGGCACCAGCATGGGCACAGCCAAAACAAGCAGCACCTGCCTTTGACTGTGCAGCTGGAGTGACCTGTGGTTTTTATCACTGAACTGTGAGAGGATGCACACTTGATGCAGACACCCCAAACCATCCCAGCCCTTGCCTGTGGGGGAGAAGCTCCTCCCAGCCCTGTGTTGTAGTCACTAGTAGGGTCACCTTGACCTGTGCATCACTGCAGCAGTGGGGACATGGCAGGAGGATGAGGTGCCAGGAGGATGCTCACTAGCCTTCCTTGCAGCTTCTCTGGTAAATAAAGCAGCTGCTGGTCCTCAACAGCCTCCTGGGGAAAGGAGAAATGCAAATACTTTTGCCTGGATACTGATGTGATGTTATTCCTAGTACACTTTATGAATTTCTTAAGACTTGTAATTACAGCTGAAATTGGCATTTAGCATGCTTGTAAGAGTTTTCAGAGGAATCTTGGTGCTTAAAAATGAATTCCCCTGCCACTTGAGGTTTTGTTTCTCTTCTTGAGTGTTTGGGGTCACATCCTCCTAATAAAAAGGAATATAAGTTTTGTCTTTTAAGGGATGAGACTTGAGCCTTCCTAGTCTTCACCATCTCTCTTCCCATTACCAGATATTCCTCAGGGCAAACCCTGCATCTCCCAGAAGTATGGGGTGGAAAGAAGTAGCAGGACAAGGCCCCTGTGCTGTTCATTATCCCACACCACAGCCCTCTTCTTCCTCAAAGGAAAAAATAAATCATTGCACAGTGGACTCTTTAAATCACTAGATTTTAATAGCCATATAAATCCTTTGCATACAGCAATCTGTGCCATGAGAAACCATATAGATACCCAACAAGTTTTTCTGGCTTTTACCACATAAAATTATCAGCAATTTATTTATTTTTTTAAATCAACTCCCATAGTAGAAACAATAACCAGGCAATTGACAGCAAATTTCTAATTTTCTAAAAGAACAATGTTTCTTCTCTTAAAAAGAGCAGAGAAGCTGCCGGGAAGTTTCAGATGTATGCACAGATCGGGGTACCTCGGGAAGCCGCGGAGCTGTCAGCACCACACGGTGTGTACCCAGTCTGTGGGCAGCTCTAGCAGCACCTGCTGTCAATGCCCAAGGAGGGCTGGGGGTGACAAAGGGGTGACAGCCTCCTGCTGCTTTGCCTTTGAGGGCACCACGCACCACCTTGCCCTCCAGCACCCACTGGTCCTGCCCAAGACTGGGACCAGCGCTGTGTCCCTGGGACAGGCAGTGAGGGACAGCACCTGAAGAGGCGCAGGATCTGTCCCTGGACATCACCTTGCAGGCTGTAAAGTGTAGCTTGTCTGTATTGCCTGTTTCTACCTATAATTTCACTCGATCAGGAGTTTAGATCATTGAGAGGACACAGAAGCACACTGTACCCTTCCACACCACCGCCCAGCACCGTGCAGGTGGGCTGTCCCCCTCCTCGCTGCCCCAGCGAGCTCAGGAGCCCACATCCCCTGCAGCAGTCACACACACAGCCTGCTCCCACCCCTCGTGCCTGGTTTCAGTGACACTGGCTTTTGCAGAATTCACAGAATTCATTAAGAAAATCGTTATTTACATCAAGGTGTTCAGCAGCACGATGTGACAGAGCAGCTGAGACAAGAATTCGCCCGGGGCTGCTGACTCACACCCTGCCCACGGGCTTATTGCTGACTCGGGCTCAGGGACTGAACCGCCCCGAGCGGTTTCCATCCCTCCGGTTTGCACTGCGGTGGCAAAGCTGCTGTCTGCACCCCGTTTTCACTGGCTATGTTCACCCTCAGGGAGAACCATCCCTGGGCAAGGCAGGCTGTGTGTGGATGCCACACCCTGGGCAACGTTAAGGCATTACATATACACAGGAGCTATTCAGGGATTTTAAAAAACCCACTCAGAGTGTAAACATTTTTGCACATACAGTCATTGGACTTCCACACATGAAGTTTTCTGTTGTTTTCTGCATAAATCACGAGTTAAGGAGCTACACAAAGAGCACTCAAGCAGACGCCTGGAGCAGTGGGCGGTTCTCTTACAGCACGGCAGCATGCAACACGACGGACTCTAAGTAGTAGAAATATGGTCAGTCTCAGTTCAGGATGCTTCCTCCTTCCTACACTTCATATATAGTTTAGGTAAATGTCATGAACAACTACGTGCTGGTAACCCGGGTAAGATGGGCAGCTGTGTGAGGAGTGCTGGGTGATTTCAGCTCATTTCTACTTTATCTCTAAGTAGAAAAGGGAGATACTCTGCATCAGTTCTTGTATCTATGGAGGTTGCTCAATGACCCCTAAGTCGCTGTGCCGGTGGTGCTATAGGTTTAGGTATCAGTGATTCTGCCTTCCTCAGGGACTTTGGCACATTGACCCTGATTCGTACAAGATCCCTGAGAACTTATCAAAGCTGCAGTACTTTACAATTTAACAGACCCGGCATGGGTGCTCAGCTCTCTGCCATGCTCACTCGTGCTTCTTGTTGTTGTCTATGCTGTGCAGCAGTGCCAGGAACTCCAGGATGAGGTTGGCAGTCTTGCGGGGCCTCTCCACCACCACTGAGTGCCCACAGTTCTCCAAGATGTACACGTGGCAGTCTGGGATAGCACTTGCTAGAACATTGGCACCAGAAACATCCAGGACCTGGATGGCAGGGGAAAAAACAGTCACTCCCACAGTCAGATCTGGGGTTTGCTGGAGTCCATATAAACCCTGTTGGAGCTGCCTGTGCAAGTCCAATCAAGATGTTGAGCAGGGACACAGACACAGTCCCTGTGATGCCCAGCACCATGCCTGGGGATGGGACAGGGAGGCTGCACGGTGTCAGTCTCAGCATGCAGCAAGAAACTCTCTCTTGGATGCTTTTTGGCTGCTGGCTCAGTGCAAAGGGCTTACTGCGAGCAAACACTTGCATCTTTGCATTTATAGAGCCTTTCACATGCCTGCAGCTCGTTTCCTCCCACTTCTTCCCTCCCACTCCTTCCTCTGAAACCAACCCTACAACTTTGCCTTGCAGCCTGCCCACAAACAGCACATCTCTTCCCAGTTGCCAGGACAACTCTTTGCTGGCACTTTATTCCTCTTCCCAGCCCTTGCCTGCTTTTGTGCTGGCACCTACCCCTCACTTGCCCCCTCACCCCCTCCCAGTCCCAGCTCTTCTCTCTCCTCCCTCCAGCCCCATGCTGGCTGTCAGCTTTCTACCCATCACCCTGCCAATCCCCTGTGTCCAAACCCACCAGGGATGGGGACACATGTGCCAGCTCCCTGCAGAGCAGTGCACAGCTCAGCAGCACAGTCCCCACTGTGCCTCTGAGGGTGGGCACAGGCAGAGATGGAGACAGCCCATGGGGGATACAGAGGGGACTACTTACCTGGTCCTGCTTGCCCCAGATGACCTGCGTCGGGGCTTTGATCTTGCTCATGTTCTCATGGAGAGAGTGTCTGGACTTTTCATCCACGATTTCTAAAAACACTAGTGGGGCAAGAGGAGAGTCAGTCCTGCAAGGGAGATGTTTCGCCTTTCCTTCTCTCAGGGATACCTGAAGGCCAGCCCTGCCTGTGTTTCTCTGGGAACCCCATGCAGGGGTGATAGGCTGTCCTTGCACTGCCACCAAGCCCAGCTGCAGAGGGACTCTCTGCCAAGCCATCTCCTTGCAGGTACTAGTCAACCCAGATGGGAGTGGGAGGGTGAAGCAGTGACTCTGTCATGCATGGGGGTGGCAGTGTGTTGCTACCAGCTGCCAAGGTGTGTTCCCAAATCCATTAATGATGTTGCCCCCTCCCACCCACAGCAAGGCAGCAGAGATGTGCTGGGGCTGGGCAGCATGCAGGGGACATGGGGGCTGGGGACAGCCCAGCTTCACAGCCTGGGGCTCCGGCTGGAAAGGTGAGGAGGCTCTGCCATGCACTTACGTTTTCGATAAAAATCATTGTGTGGGATGCGAACGTCCACAAGGCCCTGGAGGATCTGCAGGGAGAGCAGAGGAAAGCTGCTGGGGGAGACTTACATCCCACATGGGGCTGAGCATGCTTGAGAGCAGACCCTGCTGCCCCAATGTGCCCTGCACAGCCTGGCCCTGGCGTGATCTTCTCCCTAAGCACGTGGGCCTGTTGAAACCATGCTTAAGCAACATGTATTTCAGCAACAAGTAATTTTGTCCTTTAGGATGCAGACACAATTTCTCCCCCGTCCAGAAGCCACCTCATCCATGACTGCACTTTTCTTCCTTCTATTCTTTCACCAAAACCCCTAAAGTTCTTGGTGTTATCTTACATTTGTTTCTTACTCTTCAATCTACTCATCCCAGACTTCCTCAGGAAAGCTAGTTTAATAGCCAGCCCCTCGCCAAGTTCCTCTTGCCTGATAATGAGGCAAGTAACATTTCATTGCTTTTATTAAAAAAGCAGCAAACAATCTCCCTTCACCCTGGACAACAGCTGCCTTAGTTATTTCATGCTTCCTGCTGGTCATATTTACTAAAAAACCTTTCTACATCCCAGCCTGCTGCCAAAAACCTCATGGGAGGAGGAATTCCAGTAGACGCTGCCAGAGGGAGCTTGGAAAAGTGGGTTTGAAGGGAAAGTGCTGGAAAGGTACTGGGAGTGGGGCCAGGAGTGTCCCGCCTGCCACCATGCAGGCTTGGGGAAAACAAACCCACTCACCACCTCTGAGCCTCCCTTTCCTGGTTGCCACAGTCAGCATTGGCTTCTCACCTGCTGTGGCACCTTGAAGCGAACGTAGGAGCAAAGCTTCAGCATATCTGCCATCTCCTCCGGCGTCGAGGGAATTAAGGGGATCCTGTCTATGCGTTTGGACTCTTGCAGCTCCCGGAGCTGCTTAATGAACTTGCTGTCAGTGGTACTTGGCAGGCCTGGGTGAAATGAGAAGGGAGGCACAAGCTAAAACCCAGAGGAGACCCCCAACAGCCTCAGCGACAGACCATCACTGCACCGACCTCCCCCTTGCTGCCTCTGGCCTCCTGCCTGCTCACTCATTTAAAAACAACAAAATCAAGTGGGAAGGAAAAATCTGTACATACAGCAACCTCAATATGCACTCAGATACCCCAACCTTCCTGCTGCTCCAGGGCTTGGCACCACTGACCCCATGGGCTGACACAACACCAGGTATATTCCCTATAGGCGTGTGTGAATACTTTGGCAAAAGCTACAGCACTTCTTTTTATGTGGCTACTGGATGAAAACACTAATGCCCAGGCTGCCACTGCACAAGGTTGACAGAAAATTTCAGCAGCCCCATCTGCATGCACCACTGAAGAAAAAAAATCCGCTGGCAGCTTAATCCCAACACTCTCTGCAGTCCCTACAGGTTTCACATCCAGAAACAGCCAGAGAGTCAGTCAACACCTCTCCCAGAGGAGAGCGGGAACCCTGCCGCCCCCAGAGCCTGGTAGCTAGGTAACGTTCGCTTTGCTTCATTCCTTAGTTCTTATTTGGGAGCTGCTTTCCGTGCGTGGGAGGGAGAAGGAGCTGCTATAACAACGGGGATACAGCGAAGCCCTCCCCAGCAGAGAAGCTTCCTAATCCCTGTGCTTCCTGCAGCATGTCATGCCCAGGCTCTTCTGAGCCCCCTATCCCAGAGATGGAGGGAACAGTGGGGTGGAGGATGTGGTGGGGACAGAGGGGACAGTGGGGATGGAGGGGTGCTGCACAAGGACACCCCACTGACCTATATCCAGCCCTGAAGTGCTAGAGCACCCAAAGGTGGGACATCTGAGCTCTCCAGCTCCCAAAGCCCCAGCCCTCCAGTACCCCAAGGCTTTCAAGAGGCCAGACTGAGAAGGCTTCTCCTGTTGCTGCCTGGGTTCCCTCTCCAGAATCGAGAGACTGCAGACGTGCCATGTAAAATGCCTACCATCTCAAGGGAAAAGGCATTTTCCTCCAGAACAGGAGTTGTGCCATTTGCCCTAGTCCCAACTCTAACCAAGGCACAGTGGGGCAAATGGCAAACCCCTGGAGAAGAGCAGTCAGCACAAGGCTGTGATTTTTTTCCCATACCCCTGACAGAGATTTCCAGACTGTAAATACAAATTATTTCGAAATGCTTCAAATTAAATCTCTATGCAGCCTCCAGCACTGCCCTGGGCTCTTGCACCACCTCCTGCTTGCCCTCTCCCCATCGCACCTCCCCTGCCTTGCCCACCTGCAGGACAGATGAGGGTCAGGCTGCAAATGTCTTCTGGGTACTGAGCAGCATAGACACCAGCAACATTTCCCCCCATGGAAGTGCCAACCAAATGAAAGGGCCTTCTGTTCAGCTTGATGCACTCCACAAACTGGCAGGGAGCAGAAGGAGCATTGTTAGGGGAGAAGAAACAACAGTGTGGGGTCATTAGAGAAATTCTACTCAAAAACTTGAGGCTGGTGGCTCTGGCTGCCTGGGAAGGGAGGGAGTGGAGTCGCACAAGGCAGGCTCACAGGGCTGAGCATCCCTCACGTCCCCACGTCCCTCACATCCCCACATTCCTCTGCAGGGGCCATGCAATGCTGGGGCTTTACCTGGTGTATTCTCTTAGCTTGCCCACTAATGGAGTAATCGTCCAAGTCTGAGCGTGTCGTGCCCTCGTGCCCGGGCATATCCACACACACCAAGTGCAGGTTCTTTGGCAGGAACTACAGAAACAAACCAGGGATGGTTACTGTGCAGGGAAACTGCTGCAAAGCCCAGGGATAGAAAGTAGAGACCACAGGTGAGAGTAGGGGGGTCACTCTACTCCTAGCAGCCCCATCTACTTGTGCATCAGAATAAGTCAGCTCGTGTACTAAGGATGATATGATGAGAAAGCATGGCCAAGACTTGCTTCCCATGGAGGCAACAGGTAGGTACTGCTCTTCCCCTGCAGCTCTGCATGTCATAGGGATGAAGGGATCCAACAAGCAATGAGCACAGAGCTAAAGATGGTGTTCCTCGCACCTTACATCAGTCATCCCATCCCATGCATGCAACCATTGGGTCCCCACACCGCCCCCCAGCCCAGGACCACCAGTTCTTACTAAGAAGCAACATGATAGAAATGGAATCCCACCTTGACTATGGACAGCCACATGTCTTTGTGGGCTGAGAACCCATGTAACATCAGGATGGATGGTCGGTATCCAGGTCTTCCTCTATAGGAATAACAAAACTGATAGTCATCGTAGTTTGCATATCTAACCTGCATGCCCAAGGCTCGGCGCCAGTACCTGGAAATGAGGAGAAAACACCAGTGAGCCAGACAAGTCCAGAGCCCAGCCACAATACAAGCCAAGCAACAAGTCCAAATGCAGTGACAAATTTGTTGCTTTGCTAAGGTCACTTAGGTTGGGCTCACACTGGTGCTGTTATGGGACTAATGCTGAGCTCAGACCCTGTGCATACATGCAATCCCTTGCAGGTGTAGTACTGGCAGCTGGCTACTCATGGCTGCACTGCAAATGGCTTGTGGAGACACTCTCTCTGTTCAGAACTTCAAAAACGAACCTAAATAACTGATTTGGCAATGGAAATGGGCCAAAATAACAGTTGTAAAACTGAAAATGCCCAGAAATTGGTATGAGGAGAGAGACTGAAGAGAGTGGCAGCATACATGGCAAAGCAGCATGAGGATGGGCAGGCCAAGTGAGAGAGTTCTTACAGGTGGGTAAGGTGGAGATATCACAGGGTTATTTGGACACAGTCCTGCATTGATGGGAGAACATCACCCCAAAGACAAGCACATCAGATCCCAGTCAAAACAACCCTGTCACCCAGGAGCACCACAGAACCCCGATTGCCACAGACCAACGAGATAACCTTTAAAATATATTTATACACAATCAAAGGACTCAAGGGGACCATCTCTACACAGGGTCTAGCACCCTAGGAGATATGAGGCTAACCCCAGGGCTGTTCCTCTGAAAGCAGAGGCAAGCATCTCCTGCCAGCACATGCTTGCAGCCTGCTCAGAGGATGCAGTGAAACTGCCAGCCAGAAGGACCTGAACAGAGATTATTGGTGACACTTGGGACACATGATGTGTACGTGCAGCCCAAGACAGAGGAGCAGGCTTGCGTTCTCTGCATTTGCTCTATACTCAGACATAACCCTTGTCAAGACAACTACTGGGCTACTCCTGGTGGCCAAGATACTGACAAATACTTTTATGTGTCTTATCAGAATTTATTTAAGACACAAGAGCAAGGTCACCAGCACTTCTGGACTGTCCTACCCCTCTGCCCACTCAAAGCTTATGCATAGTGAAATCCTCTTTTACCATAATCCCTTTTTCAAGGGAGTTAGAGGGACTTAATCAGCATCTCAGCTCTGTGCTGGTCCTACAAGGAGAGGTGAATTTCTCCCTAATAAGTGTCTTAAGAGTCCTTGCCTCAAAGGCACTGGTGTGAACTACCAATGGGCGAGATGATAACATTTTTAGCAACTGATCCTAATGGATCAATTCAGCAGAAGGCAAAATAATCTGTGCAAAGCTGAACTGATCCTTCACAAGGTGTTAACACGCTTAGTGGCAGCAGCTAAACTGATTAACTCCTGTCACAGTGCAGGCAGAGCAGCTCTGGGCCGGGGTCAGTGGGGCAGCCCTGGATGTCATGCCAGGCAGGGAGGCGCATTACCAGCAGGGAAAGCAGTGAGGCCATGGGTGAGGGGGGCCCAGCATGACCCTTGAGTGTCTGGCTGAGGACACTCAGACCAGCAGAGAGGAGGGGACAGGGAACTGTGGAAGAAGGGAGAAGCATCCTCCAAGACCTCTGGGCACCTCCAGAATCAGTGCCACAAAGCTGGAGACACACAGGGCTGAAACAGGAGGGCAGCATGACCTCTGCCAATGGGGAAACACAACGATTTCATTAAAAAAAAAAACAGCTCAGAAAGAAGGCAATAAGGAAGGAAGAGTAAAGGGTTTGCCCTTTACAAAAGAGGTGCCCATGACACACAGAACATTGCAGTTACTCCTGAAAGATGTCCATACTGTCAGAAATGCTAGGAGAGAGAGATGGGGGCACCATACCCTTCAAAAAAAGACAAGCCTTCTCATCCCTGCTCACATGCTCCCTCCCTCAGCCAAGCACAGACCGACCTGCCCACAGTGCATTTCCACTCGGCTCCTGATCTGCACCACCAAAAGAACAAAGGCAGCAGGGGATTCTCTCAGCCTGGCTCCTCCAAGCTCCTGGCATGTCCTTTGCCCAGTTCTGCTGCCCCTGCCTGTGGCCGCTGAAGGCTTCATCCCAACCACACTTGCTCAGCATTCAGATCCAGCAATCCTCCTTGGAACCTCAGCCCATCAGGGTCCTCCCTGGTTTCCATCAGCTGCTCACATATCCAAAGGAAAAAAATACTTTCACTGCCAAACCCAGTACTGCCTGGACATCCCTGGGGCAGGAGATTGTCACACTGCCTGCTCTTCTTTGCAGAGCAATGATCCTATCACTGGGGTTTTCATCCCATCCTCCCTCCTCCTCTCTCAGCCTCAGATGCTGTGTATAAAAGGCTGCTAATTAACATGCCATTAGAAACAGGCTTCATCCTGCTGCTGCATCCAAGTGCTGAGGTGGGCAAACATCCTCCTCTCACAGGAGGTCACTAGGATTTGGAAACACCCCGTGAGCTGAACTGCAGGAGCCACCATCTGCCAGCAGCACGTGAGGGCAGCCTGATGTGCTGCCTGCTCTGTGCTGGGTGAGGAGACTGCCCTGGCTTCTGAAAAGAGTTATTCCAGCTTTTCCCTGCAACAAACCCAGAGAGGGAAGCTGCCAGTGTGCTTATCACTGATTTCCAGTGACAAAGGAGGACCGAAGGATGTAGTGCTTGCCTCTTGGTGTCAGAAAGGACAAGATGCAAGGGGGCAAGGAAAAACATCATCTTCTCTGATGCTCCATTCCAGAAGGGAGAGAATGAGAAAAGCCTCATCTGTAACTACTAGCAAGAGAAAAGTCCCTGTCAGCTGAGCAGGCTGTCAGCAGGGAGGGAGTGCGTGAGCCTGGGGACACCCATGCTATAACCACATTGATGAGGCGAGAGGTCACCAGACTGCCAGGGCTGCCAGCCTGGGGGACAGGCAGCAGCAGTAGTCCTTTTCACAGCCACAGACCTGTCCCTGGGGGAAACAGCCCAGAACGGTTCAGAGGTATCCTGCAAGCTGGAACTATAGGAGCAGCCTCACCAGGAACCCCTTGGCACAGCCCAGCCAAACCCCTGGGACAGCAAAGAGCCAGAGCAGCCCTGACAGATATAAGCCTCGGCAGTGAAAATGCATCAAGATGCCATTGTCTTCTCTCAGAGATGCTAAAACCAAGGCACAGTTTGTATGGCCCTATAGAACCTAACCTCACTTGCTGCTATTGCTGTCATGGGCAGGAACAACCACCTCTGTCCACAGGACCATACGCCTGCATGTATGGGGACCTGCTGGGAACAGGTTCTGCCATGCCACACTGAGAGCACCAGGGTAAGGAACTCACCAGTAGTAGATGCGGATGAGCGCTGAGGGCCAGAGGAGGAACGAGGCCACGAAGGCCAGGATGGGGATAGCCAGGGTGCCACCAGCGATGACAAACATGTTCAGCACATCCAGGTCCATGCTGCTCTCCACTGCCCAGCCTCACCTGCTTGCATTTAGGGAAGGATGAGAGGTTAACCATCACAAATAATGACAAGTCAATGCTAATTGAGAACTCTGCTGCCAGGGGGAAAGAAAAGTGGCTCTGTGAGAGGCAAAGGATACCTTTCAGGCACACAGCAAAGTCTCCTTCAGTTTTAAAACTCAATTATTTCTTCTTGCTCCTTAATGGATCTAATTATTGCAATGTTATCCTCTCAGGAGAGCACATTTCAAATGGGCAATGAGCCTTCTAACAAGGTTGGAACATGTCCAGGGTGACAGGGCACAAGACAGCCCTTGGGACACTGTGCAGACACAGCAAGCACAGCCCCCGATGGGTGAGGGAGCCTTTCCCCCCACTGTGTGTGCAAGCAGCCTTTTCCCCACAGTAGGTGCAGGCAGGGCTAGCTTAAGGCAGGCTCCATAGTTCTTTTTGGAGGCAGGCACTCAGTTCCATCTCCCCTCCCCCTGCCCAATCCCAAATCCCCAGCATACAACCACTGACCTAGAACTGATGGGTTGAGCCCAGCTCTCATTATCGCTCCACACAGGCACCAACTAATCAAGGAAGCAGAGCCTATTAATGGGCTTGGGAACTGAAGGAAACAACCTGGCAGGGCACTCTTTGGTGACTAGCCCTTATCCCCACCCCCACATCCTCACTTCTGCCCTGCATTTTGAGGTTGCTGTGGGTCACAGGTCTCCATCCCTGCTACCCAGCATCCTTCGGACAAATCTCGGGGACAGCAGGCGGAGGCCACTGGGTGCAAGGCCAGGCTCTCAGACAATGCCATACTTGTCCCTGAACTCTCCCCATCATGGGCAGCTGGAATATATTTTTCTCATTAAGAGATTAAATGCTGCCACACCCACATGT